AAAACAGAAGCCTTTAATACAGTTCATTATTCTAGAAAGCTGGAGCTAACTAATCCTTCTTCCCACTGGCCTCCAAATGCGTCTCTCAACCAGTGAACTCTTTGTTCCTAAAGCCCCTTAATACACTTTTTATTTCAGATGTCACTTTCCCACCGTTCAAGGAACATAAGGTGCCATGTGTCATTGCACCAACATAAACTTTATTTCTGCTGATGCCTTTTGGTAGTAAGTAAGAGATAGCTTACTTATAATAAACAGGCTGCATTTAGTGCCCTTTCTGTCATTTTAGTTTGTTGCCGTACAGGGAGTGTACCGTGTTTGTAGTTGATAACGTCAGGCTTCTTTCTTTGTAAGTGATAGACGAGAAAATATTCTGAAATGAATATATTCACTTTCTTATATGAAAGGTATGCCCATAGGGCTTAGAGCATTTTAAAACAGCAAGGTCTTTCAAATGAAGTGAAGAGGAATTAAAGTCTATATGTCAATGAACTTATCTTGGGTTTATTGCAGTGTTGCAAAAATCGTGCATTTTCTTCTGTATCATTGATTCCTTGCCATTTACCCTGTTAACTGTAATGTCTTTTAAAGCCACTGTAGCATTGACAGAATTGTATGACAAGTCATATGCCAAGAATGTCTTGCCAAATTTAAAAGTCATTATAGTAACCAGTTTCTTGAAGGAATTACCAAAAAACCTAATCATGCTGAGGTAACAGGGCAGACCTAAATAACTGGCAGTCCAACTACTTCTTTTGGCAGACAGTGGCAAAAACCTCATCATAATTTCTTCTACAAGTTTTTTCAACTAAGCTGGGCCTTCAGTAGTATTATGCCGTGCTAAGATGTCTCTCAGTACAGTTTACAAACTCAGTAAAATCAGACATACAAACAGATGAAGGTGAAGAATGTTTGCTGTAGCCTTTGCCAGTTGCCAAGTGGGTGTTTATCAGCAAATACCTATTATAGGCTGAAAAGAATCAAATTACTTTTAATGTGATGGCAACATCTGATGCAAGACATTGTTGTCTTCTACAGCTAAATAAGTTGAACATGAAGGGACTTGACAGCATGTATTATGAAACACATTATGGTCTGGAGACTGGGTGTCGCCCTAACAACCGGACAATATTTCCTTAATTAAGTATAATTTTTTCCCTACGTGATCACAAGAGGATTCTGCAAACTCTGGTAAATGAATGGTCTGGCAAATGCATGTAATTCTCTGCTTTAGGTAACTGTCAGCTTCAAATGAGTTAAGCTGTCTTAGGAAAGCTGCAAATACTTGATTTGTTTTCCCAACTTCTTTTCCTCACATATTAAACAGCATATGTTTAGAGACTAGAATAGATGTATTTTCTATTTTAAAATAATACGTTTACTGTCTCTGAGCAATTTTTTTGTCCTTGATATATTTCTCTCCAGTCCATATTTTTTTTAAAGTTTATTTGCAAAACCTGTCTTGCTTACTTACTTACTGAAAGACATTTGCTATCAGATTTTTCCACTGTGTGTCTGGCACTTGCGTTTGCTACAGTAAATCATAAGACTTCCTTCACTGCTTCCCCTTCTTCATTTCCAGGTTCCTGAATTCATACACAGGAATAGCTATCAGTCTGTCACATCTGTAATCACAGCAAGTTCCTCCAACCATACCTTTGCAATAAACATCTTTGCAAAGAAAATTTGGTATTTGAAGGCTTTGGGACATCCTAAATTAATTGCAGCCATCCTAAATTAATTGCTGGCAGTGTGGGGCTCCATGAAGCTGTGGTGTGAGTGTGACTTTCTGCTTAGCCCATCACACATCACAAGTGGGAGCTCACCTTGTCTGTCACAGAAAGCCCTGAGGCAATTCTCCATCTCTAAGCCAAAGGAGAAAACTGCTCATAGAGGGAACTGAGTACTGTTTATCAGTTGACAAATGTGGTTTGAGCATTTATGGATTGGTTCAGTAAAAATGCTGTTTTGTGGTGTGGATCATTCTGAGCATAAAGCTTATGATTTCTTACCGTAACCAAAATATGCAGATGGATGTCCAAGCCTTATGACCTTGTCTGGCTGCGTGGTATCCCAGGCTACTGATTTGGAACATACAGTAAAATCGGCATTTTCCTTGGGCACGATGCTACTTCACACCCTTGCACCGAATCTGCTATGCAGGGACTCCCAAATGGGCTGAATGAGTGTATGTCCTGCAGATTTGCTTTCAGACTTTTTCAGGAAAAGGGTAGATTTTTTTCCTGCAAAAAAGAGAGGAGCAGCATGAAAGAGAAGAATGTCATTTAAACAAGAAAGAAGGACTTTTTGAATAAAGTTTTAACTCCACTATGCTGAAATAAATTTTGTGGTGAAAGTTTGTGATTATCTTGATTTGTAAGGGCATGCACCAACAAGAAGGTTAGCACAGTGGTAGCTCACTAGAATGAGTTAATCAATGGATTAATCTGTGTAAACCAGTGCAAATTAATACAGCCAAGAAAGAGGCAAGAGGGTTCACAAGTGTTGCAGGTTTGATACTTGCACACTGATCAGCTTGTTTTATAAGCATTTATTTGGAATAATGACAGATATTCTGTGGAGGCTAGTTTCTGTAATTTACCAAATTTCTCAAGGGAAACGTAATCCACTATGTGACATAAAACAAGCGTGTATGTTTTTCATATGCCAAGAGTATTACAAAAAGGACTGACCAAGCTGAGTCTACCTCCTCTTTACCATTGCATGCAAGTAATCAGTTTGCAGATACTGCAGAATCTGTCGTTCTCAGATAGAATATGCATAGGCAAAACTTTGCTGGAAAGAGAAAAAATTGAATTGGTACTTCCCCAGCATTGTTTATTTTTGTTTATTTTATAGAGTCACAGAAAGGTTTGGATTGGAAGGGACCTTAAAGATCACCTAGTTCCACCCCCTTGCCATGGGCAGGGACACTTTCCACTAGACCAGGTTGCTCAAAGCCCCATCCAGCCTGGCCTTGAACACTGCCAGGGAGGGGGCAGCCACAGCTTCTCTGGGCAACCTGTGCCAGTGCCTCACCACCCTCACAGTGAAGAACAACTTCTTTACATCTAATCTAAATCTGTCCTCTTTCAGTTTAAAGACATTACCCTTTGTCCTATCACTACATGCCCTTGTAAAAAGTCTTTCTCCAGCTTTCTTGTAGACTCACTTGAGGTACTGGAAGGCTGCTATAAGGTGTCCGCGGAGCCTTCTCTTCTCCAGGTTGAACAACCCCAACTCTCAGCCTGTCATCATAGGAGAGGTGCTCCTTCGCTCTGATCATCTTCGTGGCCCTTCTCTGGACTCACTCCAATGGGTCCATGTCCTTCTTATGTTGAGGGCCCCATAGCCGAACAGAGTACTGCAGGTGGGGTCTCACCAGAGCGGCGTAGAGGAGGAGACTCATCTCACTCAGCCTGCTGGCCATGCTGCTTTTGATGCAGCCCAGGGTGCAGTTGGCTTTGTGGACTGCAAGCACATGTTGCCAGGTCATGTTGAGCTTCTCGTCAGCCAAGACCCTCAAGCCCTTCTCTGCAGGGCTGTTCTCAACTCATTCTTCACCCAGCCTATGCTTGGGATTGCCCCAAGCTAGGTGCAGGACCTTGCACTTGGCCTTGTTTAACTTCATAAGGTTTGCCTGGACCCACCCATCAAGCTTGTCAAGCTCCCTCTGGATGGCCTCCCTTCCATCCAGTGTATAGAGCGCACCACACAGCTTGGTGTCATCAGCAAACTTGCTGAGGGTGCACTGAATTACACTGTCCATGTCTCCGACAAAGTTGTGAGTATTCAGATATGCAACTGAAAATTTGGTATCTTTTGCTTCTAATCAGATCCTTGGAGATGCAGTCACATAGCTCTACATAAATGTGAGACAGACACTTAAGAACAGGTGTGCCGTGGGTTTTGGAACTGGTTTATTTTACATTCTTATTTATAGGTGGATTGTCAGTAATCTCAATGGAAAAAGTGTCAGTTTTCCTTTTTTTTTTTTTTTAAAGAAATATATCCATCCACATTTTCCACACTTTGTAGCAGATGTAATGTTGTGATTGTGCAAATTTGTAATGTGTGCACACAAACATACGTATGCACAAAATAGAGCTATTATTTCATATTAAGAAATAGCTGGAAATATCTCCTTATTTCACTATCTGCGAGAAAAAGAGCAGACCATTCTTTCTGATGGCTTTCTATAACCAACACAGGAAATAGCATTTTACACCATATAACTGAAGAGAATCAACACTTCATTAAGGCATGAAGTTACCGACATGGGAGCTTGGGGAGCGAGAGAGCAAAAGCAAGGAATATGAATGGCAAAGAAGCTTTCTTCAAAGCTTCTCTGGCATGTCTTTTGTTTCATTTTTGTTCAAAGTCTTGTTCTTGCTTTAGTTCATATGCTGTTTGTTATTAATGTCTTTGTTTTTCATGCAGAGAAGAAAAATGCTTTTAAATGCTGTGTATGTGTTTTAAATGGGTGTCACTAACAAACTCACTGTCAATAGCTGGTCTTACTTAATCAACTATAAAATGTCATTAGTAAGGGTTCTTAATTGAGACTGGAAAAACCCAAGATAATTACCATAATAGGTTGAAGATCTTAGAGACTGGGTTTTAGAAGTCAGAGAAAATTTGGGACATATGTGTTCTGTCTGTAATATTGTTCTATATAGGATATGGAAAAATAGAAATGACAGACATTTTGCAATGTACAGTAGCATTCAACATAGAAAGAGCATATGCATTTGTTTGTCAGAAGCAATGAAGTAAAAAATGATACTTAATTGGAACTGACATAAAATGGCCTCATTAGTAGTACAAATAATATATGTGTGTAGCTTGGTTGTCAATAGGAACAAAACATATTTCCTCTGACAGATATATTAGTCTCTTTTAAGATTCATGTCAAGTTTTCAGCCAGGTTCACTCGTTTAGAGAATGCTGCTTTCTTTGTTAAAGTGAAATATTGATGTGTAAATGGTGTGTGTTTGAAGGGTGCTGTGATAACACCAACGATGGACCACACTATGTCAATGCAGCCAGCAAGCATGATGGGCCCTCTGACCCAACAGATGAACCACCTTTCCTTGGGCACAACAGGAACGGTAAGATCATAGATTATACTATTTACTTTCTATATTGCAAAACATTTATTGCTTACTGAATTTCTCAAGGTTAATTTATTACTTGTGGGTTTTCAGTGCTTCACTTTTTTGCAGTTTAATACTGCCATGGTTTACCTTTTTTTTCTCCATGTCCAGAGATGTTTGGTGCTATCCGGCTAAACATATCAAAGTGCCTTTCATCAGGGCCCAAACATGATGTACAACGCAAGCAGTATCCTCATATTGCTATGTCATGAAAACATGTATGTACAAATATATTTTTAAAACCATCATACAGTCAGCATTAGGTATTATAGAACAGAAATGACAAAGAAGTATGAGTAGTAAAACAGTAGGACAACAAAACTTAAAATACTTAGCAGAAATTATCTGTACTAATTCTCATGTAAATATGGAAGTACTCCTTTATCAATTTGCTTTTTAATAAGAAATTGATTGCTTGTCAATGTACAAAGTTTTATACTATTGGGAAATGGGAGTTCTGGCTTCATGGTAGGATCCACTACTCTCTTCTAAATCATAGCAGCCAGCCATACATAGTTTGCTCTAAGCTCGGAAATGTGATTTTGGGTCAAGGTCAGCTGTGTTTCCAGTATATTGTATTTAAACATGCATATTTCAATAATTATTTTCTCTTTAAGCTGTGTAAGTCAAACTCAATTAACTCGCCCAGAGTCAGAGAAAGGCAGAAAATACTCTTATTAGAGATTATTAAAACAGTCTGAAAAGTTCCTAAAATACAACAGCCTACATACAATATATGGTGGTTTGATATGTGAATGTGCGCACACTGCATGTACACGTATATTTTTCTGAAAATGCAGGAATAAACATTGCACTTTCATGTCTTTAGCCCACATACTCTTTACATAATAATTACGTGAAAGATCTATTATGCACTTACAAATTTTTTTTCTATTTCACCTCTGAACTACTTGATACTTTTCTATAGGAACACAGTTTTCCAACTTTGGTTTGTTTTTTTTTTTTTAATTAACTAAGGTACTGAATAAAGTTGTATCTGTACAAAGTTATTTAACCCACTAGTTTGGGTCTTCTCTTCCTCTTCCTGATCCTTTTATCTTCCTCTCCTTTTTTTCTTATCTGTTGAATTTAATTCTAACTCCAGTGTCTTTTCCCCCTTTTTTAAAAAAACTCTGTTAAGATATGAGACTCTTCTATTTATTTCTGATGAAACTTAAATGTGATGGTTTATTGTTTATTCCCATTATTTTAAATGTTACATTCAATAATCAAAAGAAGTAGGAGTTATATCTCAAAGTTAATATCCACATTTTCCCCCTCCGAAGAAAGGAAATTGAAGGAAACACTTGGACTAGTGAGAATTTCTGCATGTGTAATGACTGTGATTCAAAAGTGTGTTTAAAAATTAAGACAAAGAAATGGAAAATGAATTCTGGTTGTGCTGCTGGGCAGCTTGTATGAATTCTTCCTTCTGTCTATCATTTTCATTTCCATGACTTTTACAGACATTGTCTTCTGTGCTCATTTTCTCACAGTCTTAATGCAAGCTAGAAAATTCCCAGCTAATATTCTCTTCCAACTTGAGACCACTATTAAAATGCTCATAGTAAACAAATCCATTTGGGGAGGCAGGGGAGGGACTCTGAAAGGCAGTGGGTGATCTAGTGGGTGATAATAAGATCCTAAGTTTATTTTGCTGCAAAGAAAATCTTTCCATACTTGTCCTAGCTCTTTACAAAGTCTTATCTTTCAAGGCCATAGCATTCCCTGATAACTTCTTGAAATACGTTCAGATGTATACCATATAGGTTTATGTTTGCTATCTTTAAAACTCCTAACTCGTTTACGGAAAACCTGAAGAGCAAGAAAGAATGGGTGTCACAATATCCATTGGCTTTTCCGAAATCTCAAATGACACCCTTTTTTTTCATATACAGGATTTCTCTTTGGTAAAAATTCCATCAGCACCATATTCAGTTAATGTCCTCATGCAAGCAAGGTAATCATGGAGGTCATTGGGAATTCCTCCTCTCAGGAATTAAAGGGAGAACTTCAGGATTTGAGCTACCAGTAGCAGTTTTGTTGGATGTATCCATCATGACTTCAAATTGAATCTTTCTAATGTGTTCTGTTACAGAAAAAATGTGAGGGAAATGGACAACCTATTTAGAAATATGATTTATTTAGAGATATTTGTACTTCATATATTCTGGAGTCTGAATTTCAGTCCAGAGAGAGCAGCATTGAGAGCATAAAGCCATGATGAATTCAGCCAAATCCAAACCATGCGTACTGTGAGTAACTCAGCAGGACTAAGTTTTATGGGAGATAAGACATAAACTATACATTTCTGTTACGAATATATTTTTTAATTTTATCCTTAAAATTGTGCAACAGGGTGCCATAAAGAGCTACCAGCTATCTTGCAAGAAACCAGCCATATATTTTTAAGCAAATAAGCCAAAAAGTCACAAATGATTCTGCTCGGTGTGGCTGTAACTCTGTCCGAATTTAACTTAAAAGCTTGCAGTATGCAAAGCACTTTTTATTAAAAGGCTTTTATACATTCACTTCCTTAGACAAACCATTTCGCTAATTAACATAACATATTTTTAAGCCAAAACAGAACTCTGTGGTCACTTAAGTGAGAATTGACTTCAAACCCACTTCCAGACTTGCCCAATTCAGGATGAATGTTAGGTTTCTAAAACAGTGCTTCCAACAGAAAATCTCTTCCCTAGTGAGTAAGCTAGAGAAATAGCATAAGGGCCTATGCATGCCTTATATCTTGTGGGAATTATTCTGCCTTTTGATGCTTTTAAAAGATTAAAATACTCTGTCCAGGCTGAAGCCATTCCAGAGGGGAAACCTTTTACAGAGGAGCACTGTTTAGCACTTTGGTGAGGCGAGTTACCTGAGTAAGAGTGGCCTCTGCCAATTCCTGCCTCAAAATCAAAAATTGGATTTAAGTTTTGACCTCTCAACCCTGAAGCACACATTAAAACCCCATGGGAATTTGAGGGGCAGCTGCCTCCATCCCTGCTCGCATTGATTATTTAGTCACCAGCCCAGGGCGGGCATTTCTGGCTAAATGCTGGCAGGGGTGCTTACTTCCATCTGGGAGCATCCAATTCAGCAGCCAAAACAGAGCAATTTTCCTACAACCCCACTCACAGCCAGCTGCCTTCCCCTTGTGCTATGGGAGGCCTTCAGTTACTGGCCACAAAAAGGACAAGGAATTTTGTTTAGGAAACCATTTGCCATAATAGGAGCAAGAAGTTTTCTTTCTCTCCAAAAATCCCAAAGAATGTGCATATAATTTTATTTTATTATCTTTTTTTAACATTCTTATTTCTTATCTATTATTGAATTGTCTGCATAAAATCAGACATCTCTGCTATGCTAAGCACTCTTTAATCAGGTGGATGCACTAAGGCTATCAAGATGCCAGGCCAAGTGAAAAACTGCAAATCCATCTTTACTTGATTTCACTGCTGACCTCATGAAAACATACAGCTGCAGCAAATATTCCAGGCCAAAGGATGGTAAAGCGCACCAGGGGAAGAGAGGAGGTAGTGATCTGCAGTTCATGGCAACTTGACCCTATGTTCCTGTGCTGTGAGATAATTTTGTACAACATTTGCATCTCCCAGTTACTGTGCTTTGTGCTCATCCACCAAGAACAGAATTCCTTTCTGCCTTTATGAAAATCAGATTGATTTATGCCAGTGAAAATAGAGTTTATGTTACTGATGAATTGAGAGGCAAGTGTGCTGCTCTGATCCCCTCCCCAAATGTCCCTGAAATCTTAAGCAGAGGGTCTGCCAGAGGGGTGATTTCTGCCATATTTGTATGTATATTTCATACATATGTCTTCACTCAAAAAGAGCAGAAAGCATTTACACGGGTGCACTGGCTGTGGGCAAATATGTAAAGAAAACCTAAGCGTAAATTATGTCAAGATTACAGCAAAAAGGTGAAAACTCTGAATATTCTGATTAAGGCTGACAACCCAGCCTCGGCTCCTACAATTGTATTAAAATGAAATTTTAATGCTGAGAGGCATAATGTGAAGACAGACAACTGGGTTTAACCTTGAAATTTTTCTTTTGTTTACTAGTTTATTATTATTTGTTACAGTAAGTCTTGTTTTTCCCATGTAATATTCATTTGCAGTTAAGTCTGCTATTAAAAAAGGTACCATAGAGGGAGAATAAAGTGAGTGAGTCTATAAGGGTAGCTTTGAAAGAGCAGCATTAGTATGTGTTTAATAATGTATGGAGGCTGGAATTGTTCCATCATCAGCCTGTCATTCAAAATGTTTCCGATACAGCCATTGATCTGACATCTGTTTCGTGGTTTAATAAAGTTGTGATTGATGCCTGAGTGGATGTAATACAAAAACCTTTAGAAATATAAAAACTGAGCAGTCTGATCACTGCTTTCAGTCACTGTTGCTCAGCTCCCTTTTACTGTGACACTTCCACGTTTGGCCGTCAGCAGCAATAATCCACCTCTTCAGTGGAAAGAAGATTTGCTGTGTTCTTTCTCCTCTGCTGCTCGTTCCTGAAGGAAGTTTTCTGTTCTGCACTTTCTTGGTCCAGATTTCTTTCCCCTCCCTGCTGTTAGCATCCATTTCTGATGCTGCTTGGGTTCCAGTTTCATTCAACAGATTAAGGCAGCCTTTGTTACTCCTTATTGGCAGGGAGGTAATTCCAGCTTTTTTTCCGCTCTCTTTTGGAACTGCCTTACTGTAGGCTTGTTTCATCTTAAACCTTTGAGGCCTACACCAATGGGAGAGTGAGTACAAGCCAGGTTTTTTACTAAAACTGCTAACTCAACTCTGCTGCTTAATTGTTCTTCACGCTTCCAGATGGTTCACTCAGCTTTCAGTTTCTCATTTAGAAACATAATAGGAACTTAGAAAATTAGTTCTCCATTGCACTAAAAAAAAAAAAAAAAACCAACAAAAAAAAACGTAAAATAAATTGTTT